GTTCATTTTGATACATTTCTGAGTGCCACTGGATTTGTTTCTCTAGACGACCCAACCAAACACAGTATCATGATCCTTTCCTCAATCCAATCTTCTCATTACTTGTCCCCTAATCTCTTGTATCAATGGTTCAGGGTTCTTTATATGTGGGACTTATTAAAATCAGAATTTAGTCCTTTTAGGAAGAAGAGCTAAAAATTAAATTTAAAATAATAAAGTAATTTAAAGTAAGGCAAAATGAGATCAGTAGGACATGCTTGCTGTTACCTCTGCCAATGATTCAGGCCCTGCATTGTATTGAGACACCCCACATCTTGCTCTGGCTCTTTAGCCGTGGCCAATACCACATGCATCATACTTCCATATGCCCACAGCTGTTGCATAGATTAAGTTGTCTCAAGCAGCCAAAGACTGTGAGCAGAAGGATTACACCTGGTGACCTCAACCACTCCATGGGTGTCACAACTATCTAGGCTGAGAGAGCTGCACACAGAGGACACGGGGTGCTGGTGAATGAAAGCCATTTAATACATCACAGAAGCTGACAGCCAATAAGAAAGTTCTGTTCCAGCTGGCCCCCGCCCTCAAAACTGCCCGGTGGAGATGGAGACTCTTCTACTGCATGCCCACTTCGCAGCAGAGGTAAGGAACTTAGACGTCTCCAGGGGCTGTTTCTACCGCTGCATAGAATGCAGTGTAGATGTCCAAGGAGTGGATGATTAGACCTATGGGAACTAGGTGGAATTTCATTACTTTAGCCTGGCTCCTCCTCATGCTTCGGGGGTGGGGTGGGGTGTGTTAGTCTGGGTACTTTAGAGAAACAAATCCACAGAAGTTCGTGTATAAAAGAGAGTTTTATGCAAAGGTTAAGTGTGCACCAAGAAAACCCAGTGCTGCCCAAGCCCACAAGTCCAACATTAGCTCATATGTCCAACACCAATCCACAAAGTCCTCCTCCATCTCACAAAACACACGCAATGACGCCAACTCCAGGAGGAAAGCCGTATCAGTGAACATGTAAGTATCTCAGCACTGGCAGGGGTCTCCCAGGGCTGCATCGGGGTAGGTCCATGTGGCTTCTCCTTGGGGGTGTCTTTCAGGAAGTCAGCCTTGCCAGCTAATGCAGGGAATTGGTTAAGGCAGCTGCACCCTGGGCCGACCATCAGAAAGTAAGAGACCCAAGAACTAGAAGGGTGAGCCATTGATCCCCCTGCCCTTCAATTAACCCCACGTGTTTATGGGCCAGGTTGGCACCATAAACGAACTACCTCAGGGGGGGGCATCAGTTTTTACCTGAGATCTAGAAATGACAGCAGGGGTTGAGGAATGGGAAGGAATTACAGCTGTTTGGCCAGTCAAAGGATTGCCTCCTCTACCACTCCCAACCTTCTCATTGCTCAGGTTAGAATCTCCCTTTGAGCCAGTGTGAACAAATACCGTAGTACCTACCCCTGGAGGCCTCCCTTTTGGCCTGGTTCTTGTCCTCCTACACACATCTTCAGTCAATCCTGAAGCTGCCCTGAACTCCTGACCCCCACCTCTTCCAATTTGCTTCAGCCCACCATTGCTCTAGTTTCAATAGTGACAGGTGTGCTTCTCTAAGTGAGGAGCCTAGACATCTGCACTCATTAATCTCTAAAGAGGAGACCAGATCAGGTTTGGCTCCTCCTTCCCACCCACAATAATATGGACACCCACCTCAATGTCATTAGAGCCCAAGTGGGGGACTTTGACTTCCATATTCACCTAACAAAAATGAGTTCCCTTTTTCTCCTGCCAAAACAATGTCAAAAACTAAAACAAAGGATTCAAAAAAGATCTAGAGTTCTCACACATAATCCAAAAATGTTCTAGTTTCCATTGAATAGCACTTGTCATCCCAAGTACACGGAAGATCTCAAACTGAATGAAGAAGACAACCAATAGATGCCAACACCTAGAGGAGAAATGTGAGAATTATCTAATAAAGATGTAAAACAATCATGATTTTTTTAAAATGTTTCGAAGAGCAGTTTTGATGAAAAAAGTTTCAGCCAAAAAAAGATAAAAATCTAATGAAAATTTTAGAACTGGAAAATGCAACAGATAAATTGAAAATTTAGTCAAAAGTCCAGTCTTTCTCCAGAGGAGCTGCTGGTGGGTTTGAACCGCCAGTCTTGTGAATTACAGCCCAATATCTAACCAGCCCAACGAGTAACCACTCCACTACCAGGGCTCCTTGGGCCTATAACAAATACTCAAGAAGCTGAGTGAACCCCAAGCAAGAGAACCCAAAGAAAATTCCACATCATAATGATTTCAAAACCCAAATCAAAACAAACTCTTAAGAGCAGTCAGAGAAACAAGACCCCTTACTTATATGTGGGAGAAGCAATTCTAATGGCAGCAGATTTCATATCAGAAATCATAGAGGCTAGAAAGAAGTATTATACTATTTTGCAAGTGCTGAAGGGAACATTTGGCAGATAACCTTAGATCTTAGTCTGTTGCAATCTTGGACAATCTATACCCATATCTCTGCTACCCCGCCCCCCCCACTTCTTAATACCTCTAAATCTCCCACTCTCCTTCCTTCTTCCCTCCTCCCTGAGAAAGAACGTGCACTGCTCCTTCGCAGGATTAACCAAAACCAAACGTGTTATAGAGTTGATTTTGACTCTGAGGGATCCTGAGTTCCCAACACTTGGTAAATCTTTACAGGAGCGTTCTCCTGCAAAGCAGTGAGTGAGTTTGAACCAAGGACCTTGGAGTTAGCAGTCCAATGCTTACTGATAGCATCACAAGGTCTTCCTAACACCTCCCTTGCCATCTGTGGGAAGGTCAGTGTTTAGAACCGCCAGCTGCTGTAGCAGGAGGAAGGGAAGGTATGCCAGTGGGCTTCCATGAAAAATAGGCTTGGCAACGCTCTACTGTGTCTCCAGGGTCATCAGGTGATGATGACTCAGTGGCACACACCAACAAAGTCATTCCGTTCCGTAGTGGAGACCCAAAGCCCATCTATAGACAAGTGGACATCCCTCCACAGAGGGTTATAAGGAAGGGATGATTCAATCAAGGTGCAGTATAGCACCAACAAAATACAGGTCATTCCTTTAGTTTCTGAATGCTTCCTCTCCCCCCCCCCCCCACCATGGCCCAGTTCTACCTTACAAATCTGACTAGACCACAGAACATGCATTGGTACAGATAAGAGCTCTGGGCACATGGAATTCTGGACAGATAAACCGGTCCAGAACAATAGTGGGAGTAGCATATCTCGAGGGCAGGGGGATGGATGGTCAGGGAGGGGGAAGGGTGAGAAAGGCGGACCCCATCACAAGATTTGATATATGGCCGCTGCCCCCCAAAGGGACAAATAAAAGAAATGTGGGTGAAGGGAGACAATGAATAGTGTAAGATATGAAATAATAATAACAATATATAATTGATCAAGGATTCACCAGGGTGGGGGAGGGACGAGAAAAAAGAGGAGCTTATACCAAGGGCTCAAGAAGAAAATGTTTTGGAAATGATGATGGCAACAAATGTACAAATAGGCTTGATAACAACTGATGGATGGAATGTTATAAGAATCCCCAGTAAAATGATTTTTTTTTAAAAAGCCGTTCCTTTTATTTTTTTCCTTTCAGTAAATCAATTACCTGTAGTCCTCAAACAACTTGGGATTTACCTAAGTGATTGCTCTGAGAATGATGGGAGGGATTAAGTAAACTTTCGGTTTATACAACTCTTGCTCCTCCCTCCAGAATGTCTCCACCAATCCACAGAAGGCAATCTGGACACTTCTTGGTGTTACAGATTGTCTGTCTACTCCCTCTCTTCTTCGAGTTCCCGCAAGCAGATGTGACAGTGACGTGTCAGTCTTGTCCTAGAAAAGAAGGCTGTCAGTCTTGAGTGAGTACCTCGCCCTTTCTCTTGTGTAGTCTTTGCTTGGTTGGCACCTGCATTCATGAGCAAATACGAACAACAGGACAAAGCCAAACAAACAAATGAAGTTTGGGGCAGCTAAATGTTTCGGGCAGCATTACTTGGCTCTGTTTAGTAAGTGACAAGGTCAATACAAAAGGCTGTAAACTTCCCTGCTGAGTTTTTCGTTGTAAGCTCTTTGGCCCTGTTTTGGCTTTTGAAAATGACGTGTCTGTGTTAACTTGATAAAGTGTGTTGGCAAAACCACTGAGCATGGTTTTTTCTGGTATTGTTTACTTAGCTCCTCACCCTGTGCTGTGCAGACAGGAATCTGGCTCTGGCACCATCCAGAAAACCTGCAAGCTCTCCACAGGCAACTGTGAACACGAGAATGCAGACTCAAGAAAATAGCCTCTTTGATGCCAGGAATTCTGTCTCGGAGGAGTGGAAAGCAGAGTTGGGCAAACATGTTCATTTGGCTTTGTTTGCAGTAGTTCTCAACCTGTGGGTCGCGACCCCTTTGGGGGGAAAGACCCTTTCACAAGGGTTGCCTGATTCATCACAGTAGCAAAATGACAGTGATGAAATAATTTTATGGTTGGGGGGGTCACCACCACATGGGAAAGTATATTAAGGGGTTGCGGCATCAGGAAGGTTAGACCCACTGGCTTAGGGGCTGTGTTTAGGAAGATGTGTGCAGGCTGAAGCTCCTGAAGCGCCCACTTTGCACCACTGCTTATATGGATGAGACGTTGTGTTTCACATGAGAGCCTCAGTACTTTTGAAGCCCATCTGGCCAGCAGTGGCCCTTTCTGATCCAAGTTTTCCTTCGCAGGACTTCTGGGTTCACACTGGGAAAGGAATCTCAGTTCCACAGCTACAAAGAGTTTGGGAAACTTGGAAAATGGAAGTTCTAAGATGCTAGGTCACCCAAAAGACAGGTTATCCATCTATCTTGGGAAGAAGGAGGCGTTCTGGAACGGGTGAGGAGGATAATGACCTTTTCCTTTTTAGTAAACAGAAAGATGAGGCTCCTTTTAAGTTTCAAACGATTGGTCCATTTCCTTTTCATCGTGTGCTTTGAAAGCTTCTGAACGCGGGGAAGAAATTGTTCTGATAAACTCTGAGTCTGCTCCCTATCAGCAGGTTAAGTACAGCATAGTGGTCTTCAGGGATATCTGTCATATTTGCATAATTGTTCGATGTTAATAGTAAGCATGTAAGCTGTAAGGGCGCAAAGGTCACCTGTGTCGTGTGTTTTAAAAAAAAAATTGTATCTATTTTTTTTTCATTTTTCCATTTTCTTTTCTTTTTTAATCGTTTTATTGGGAGCTCATACAACTCTTATCACAATCCATGCATACATCAATTGTATAAAGCATATTTGTACATTCATTACCCTCATCATTCTCAAAACATTTGCTCTC